ACACGGGTGCAGATAAAATATTCGATTCACCACCTTCAAGCTGAAAGATTTTCAAATAAAGAAAGTGCTACACCATGGTCTATAACTTTGCAACTCAAGTGATTGAAAATCATTTTGAGTTGTCCGAGTGTCATTCCAAGCTGCCTCGTTGACCGCATCAGAGTTGCCAGGTTTATTTCACTTTTTAAGACCCGCTACTCAATGTCTGGATTACCAAAATGCAGCATGAACTTCTCAACTTCCTGTTGAATCTCGGGGGAGACAATTGTGAGCCATTGCTCAGTTACACACACACACACCGGTTACCGTAACATAAATATTGGTTGTTAACCTTGCTAGTACTCGTACGCGTCTGTGGCTGTGTACGGTTGTGATTGTCGCACCCCCCCCCCTTTGCCTGAAAAGTCATGTCGGGCCATGCTCCACGGACATCGTCGGATCATGCGTGATCAACAGTTGAGCCGGTGCCTACGTCCGCCGAATGATGTTGCAAAAGAATTCATGAGCTACATCTCAAGCGGCTTTAACAAGACACCAATCGATCATGCTCCATCGATACACGCATCACTGTTGACCACGATCACATCCAGTTTGCTCTACACTTGCAGATTATTTTCCATCTATGTGCTATCACCACAGAAAGACCAGAAAAATTTCTACCCCTCAAGTGCTGAACAATCAAAATGACCATTTCGATTATATATTTCGAGCGGAATAAGATATCTTCATCAAACAAACTGCGATTGAAATAACGTAAAGAGAGCTGTCGAAATATACCATTTTATAAGAAATTCGAAGTTCAAAAATTCGAATATTTTTCAATAGTGCACATTTCTGATTAAGAACACTGTGTTACTCTGTATAAGATTTCCGTACATGTCCGTATCGGTATTATTCCATTCCTCAGTCAACACTGCTTGTAATGCATGCTTTTGGGTGTAAACTATGAAGCGTTGGTGAACCTTTCGGGTAGGAATGGTCTAGATGGGTTCCAATGTGGGCTGTATGCAGGTCACACCATGATTTTGGCGCCGTAAAATAGTAACCAGCATTTTTAGATAAGGGTCATGAACCACGGCAATATTTTGATGGAAAATGGCTCCAGGTTGATCATTCGATGGCAAAAGATGTTGCTACAATGTACGAATATATATATCTCATAATAAGTAGTATGTGAATGACTGGACAGAATTCCCGTGGAAACACACGACCGGTTCCGCGGTTCCTGCCGCTCGTCAGGCATGCGTGTCCGGTAATCTTTTGTCATTTCATTCATCTACTTGTACCCAGGAAGTGTATTTTCGTCACAATAACCTTGTTTGCAACACCGGGTAACCATTAGATAGACAGCTCTTTCAGAGCCAGTCCAATGAAGAATCAATGCTATGATTCGATGTTTTGTAAGTGGGTTAGATGCTACTAACCGCAACAAACGTGACATGATAGTCTTTATATAATATTTCATCATAACAAGGTTATTGTGTCGAAAATTCTGTTTTTTTTCCATGAACTTGAACGCAACCTGAAATTATCCTTTAAAAAAGAACCTACTCATGCGAATTTCTCACCTTTTGTTGATTACTTTACTCCTTGCCGTACAATTTTCAGGGAGAATAACCAATCAGTCTTTGAGAATCCTTCCTGACCGGTGTCATGAAACCGGACTGAAATGGACTGATGTAGACTATGCGTGCATGTTCTGCTGAGATGTATCCATCACTGTTTCTATTTTCTTTAGTCTGTCAGTAACACAACGCTTCTGGTTTTGTGATTGATTCAATTGTTTCCAAAAGAAGACAGTTTATGACAAACTTCAAATTTATAACAGTGCATTTAGGTCATTTTCGCATCTAAGATACAATGAAATTTGGAATAAAAACCTGATGTTTATCACCGACCACCACTCGTACGCCCTTTTTTATCCTTACTCGAAAACTGCGGCGTACGATTTCGGTAGATCGCTCCTTATCACTCAATTTATTCAACATAAATTAACACCTGAATAAACTGCTCTGCTTTATTTACTCCACAACGTAAGGTGACAGCCCGCAGCTTGAGCATAAATTAGAAACTCGATCTAAGTTGACTGTATTGTTTGGCTACTCATTAGTAGTGTATTTATATATGGCGTATTTTAGACCATATACTACATGGGAAAACCACGTCAAGAAATTTCAAATTGGATACTGGCACAAAATTTCGAAATGGCATAGAATTTCTTCACAAAATAACCAATAACTCTTTTGCCTCCGTCGAAGTTTTAGGCAACGAAAGGGATGATTTTATGCCAATTTTTTCCGTAAGGACAAGAAAACCATTCTAGCTTCAAACCATATTTTGATATTTCTACGGGGAATAAAACACAACTGTACAAGCGCTTTAGTCTCTGTGCATGAGTTTCGACGGAATGTCCTCGGAGAGTGGATAATTCATGATCCTTCGTTTGAAATTCACAAGAATGCCATTAGAAACTTTCACTCATTACCATTGTGTTTTCGAATTCAAATTTACACATCGCCTGGAATTGTTGCGTCCTAAGTCATATGACTGTCCCGCGACGACCTGACGATTGACGTGATATTCCCTTGGGTTTTGTAACTCACGATACGAGCTAGACGAACGACCTTGAAGCCATAACTCCGAGACAGGATGTACCGCATCCCATTGGAGTAGAACTGTGCCTTTCTGACGATTCATAGCCATACAAATTCCCTCAGGTAGACTTCCCATTTGCACGTGCGTGACAAAATCCACAGTGGCTTCTGCTCCGATCCCTTGGATCAGATTCACCGCTTTGGTCGAACCGGGGATGGTGAGTTCGAAATTCTCATGTACCACATGTGTACGTATTTCACAAACTG